CTGCATATTATATGGCATATTTTGATACTTTTTAGTGCATAATTATCCGGGCTCTACTTATTATATATACATTATACTAGATTTATATTATATTCATTTGTATTCTGGCAGACTARGGCACAAACATGTAATTGTTATAATCATTTGTATAATTTGGTCAACTGAGGCATATTATATTATTATATTTACATTATTTTTTATTACACCAATTGTGATGTTATTTACTGATTCATTTTATTTATTGTTTTTCAATTGTTAACATAATATTATATAATTTTTGTTATTATTGTGCCAAACAGGCAATGAATATTTATTAAATTATATTGTCAACGAGGCAGTCTATTTGTTATTATTTCATTTTTATTTATTTAAATTATTAAACAGTTTAAGTCCACATATTATTATTTTATAAAACGACAAGGTGGTTCATAATTATTTTGATCACCTTACGCGTTTACATGTACCTTACAACTGATTGCTGGACAGCTAGGTATAATGAGAGTTATATAGCAGATACAGCACATTTTGTTAATAAAAAATTTATTCTAAAATCATGCTTATAGAGTGTACTGAAATAACTGAAAGGCACACCAGTGAAAATTAAAGTATTGAAATTAAGGCTATAATAACAAAATGGAAGCTGAGCTGAAAAGTAATTCTAGAATATAGTGGTATCAGACAATGCAAGTAATATTAAGAATGCTATTACTAATTTAAAATTAAGACACTTGGTATGTTTTGCTCCTATTATTGATCTTTTTGTCGAAAAAGGTCTTAAATGCAAACCAGATTTAAAAATAAAGTAAAGAATATTGTCACTCACTTCAGCAAAAGTGCAATAGCAAATAAAATCTTGAAAAATAATTAAATAGATAGTAGTATTAAGGATCTAAAAAGTTGACMCAAGCTGTAAATAGAGTTTTTTACATGTTAGAACGAATTGTTTTGCTTGTAAACTCAGTTTGGGCATCACTCGGATTATTAGAAAATCCTCCAAGTAGCCTCACTGCTGTAGAATGGATAGTAATCAAAGAGCTATGCATTGTAWTAAGACCATTCAAATCAACAACAAAAGTAGTAAGTGGAARAATGTAATTGACTGCATCAATGATTTTTCCCATCGTAAACGGACTCACTGAAGTTTGCTCTACAACAATGTATAAACCTGAACTTGACTCAAGGACACATGCTGTAGTCAACAGCATATCAAATTCAATGAAAAATATAAGTAGTCGGGGGAATATTTCCCATAGCAAGACACTAGCTAAATKCACTTTTTTAGATCCACATATTAAAAGTATACTATTTTCTTTAAATCCCAGCTTTTCTGAAAATATTAAAACCGAAATGACTGATGAAATTACTTACATTATTCAAAATATAAGATCAAAGAACACAGACAATCCACTTACTCTACATAACAACGAACAAGAACCTTTGGTTGAAAATGAAGGTATAGAATTTTCTCTGGAATTTTCAATTTGGAGTAGTTAGATATTCATGTAAACCAATCAAGACCAATTAATACAAATCGATCCAGAGCCATATTAGAAGTACAAAATTACCTTGATGATGCATTAATTCCTAGAACACAAGATCYGTTAGAGTGGTAATGAAAGAATTTTTATAATTTTCCGAATTAATCAATTTTAGTACAAAATATTTTTTGTTACCAAGCAACATCGGTTCCGTGCGAGAGAGTTTTTTCCAAAACAGGATTAATAATAAAATGATCGACAATATAATTTAAAAACTGAAATAATAAAATGATCGACAATATAATTTAAAAACTGAAAAAGTAAAACAAATAATATTTTTAAACAAAAATGAGTCAGTTGCACAAGATTGATTTTATTTATTTATTTGTAATACCTAAATATCAAATGGAGACACAAATACTTTTTTATTTATTTTTATTGAATTATTTAAGACTTACTATTATTATTGTGGTCATTATAAATATTTTACTGAATTACCAAATACTCTATATAGAGTATTTGGAATTACTGATCAACAATTTTTATGAACATTTAAAATTTGACTATAATATTAATATTATACAACAACAATAATATTGTATTAACTTTTTGTTTATGATATGGTTTATGATAACTGAATAACTGATAACAGTGATAACGAGTAACGATAATGACATGATCAGTGATCACTGTTGTTATTTTATATATAAGTAACAGGCACTGTTACTGCTAATCATTCGGTCCAGTGAAAAGTAGCAGTAACGTTATTCGTAGTGTGTACGTCATGAGCATGTGGTTGTACGTCGACGCGTTGTTGTTATCAGCAATAACTTTTAAGTAATTACACATTCACATGCTGTGAATTGTGATTCATGATAAATTAATTTCTCAGTCTGCGATTGCAAATTGATATTCAGTATTAATTTTTTTTCATTATTGCTTTCACTTTTTCTGCTTGCGTTGGTTTATAAACGCATATCCCTTTYGTGGCATTTTTACTTCTTATTTTCGTTCGTGTTTGAAAATCGAACATGAATAACGCTCCTGAAAAAGATCTGACCACTCTGGTTCAGCAGGTAAGACGATCTGCATTTAATAATATACGGTATATTATTAAATTGATTACATTTT